ATTGTCGCTGCGCTGCATGATATTAATAACATTATCAGCTTTAGGTGTGGTAGTAGTACTGGTGTGAGGGTTAGAAGATGCCATTTTAGTGTTATTAAGCAAGTTAGTATTCTTACTCTTAACAGAAGGCTGGGTTAATAAGGTTGTTACCGATTTAGCAACAGACACACTATCACCTGTAACAGGGGTAACTGCTTTAGTATACTTAGGTGAGGTACTATAGTGATTACCAGACCGTAGGGTACGACGGTTTAAGTCGTCAAATGATTCGTCTATAACTTTCTCACTACTTCCTACCGACTCATTTAACTGTGTTCCATACTCAAAATCTATGTCAGTCTGGGCTTGATCATTGATGAGCTGGTTATCAGCAAATAGTTGCGCTAGGCGTTCGATTTCATCTACATTAGACATGGGAAACTTAGAAATTATCTATTAGCCCCCTTGGGTCAATGAATACTTAACAGTAAGTAGATCACTTGCCTCTCATTTACAAGACAAATGAATATTAATTGTAGTTAATTTTTAAACTATCAATAAGAAGACAGACACTTACAAACTACTGTAAATTATAGGATTTCAATACATTAATCTTACATTCGACACTTTATCATTGAAATAATCCTATCCGACGAACCTATCGGTGTGAAGATATCTCTCGAACGTGTTCATGTGTGTAGAACTATGTAATTTAAATACCTATTTATACAGAGTAGTACGTCTGTATAGAAAATGTGATCCTTCAAGAGTTCTGAGTGGAGTGTGGTGTGGGGCCTCTTCCTAGGATGCGTGCGCTGCTGCTGGTTTCCTTGGCAACGAGATGACGCTTCTGCTTTGGTGAGAGACGAGTCCACTTGATTTAGGTGAGTTCCTCCTCCGGCGATCAGAAAACTATGATTGGTTATCACACTGGTGGTTGCTGGTTCGCTGGCGAAAACTGCCGTGTGCCAATTCTTCACAGTCCACGTATATATGGAGATCTGTATGATGACACCGGAATTCGTAATTCGCGCTGACGACACAACAATACTGCTCAGCTGCTAGTGAAATACCAATTGAATTCCAGGTTACGAAACTGTTGTTCAACACTGCAACACTGTAATGTCTAGGGAATGCTGAGTGGAGTCTATCTCAACCGGCTCAATCTGGATATGTACCAACAGGCTGTAATATTTGTATATTACGAATTCTGCAAGTATTTGTATGTGACAGAGATAAGGAGCGCTCACTACATATCGTCTCAATACGGGATATAGTTTTAAACACTCGGATTATGTAACGCGTCACTGCTGTGTGGTTTCTTGTTTTTCACAAGACACAGACGGATGATACGACTACCAGTTTGAAGAATCCGTACACACCGCTTGCCACCTATATGAATCGGCTGCTTGTCCAATTAACCAGTCCGTTCACACATATTTATATTTGGGTTTTAAGTAACGAAACCCAAACGGTAGTTCCTTTGTTTTATTATAAAAGGTTGTATATATAATTCCTGAGTGTATATCAACCGTAAGTCTCACTGTCTAGGAGTGAATGAGAAAGGGACGGCGTTTATGTATGATAAACGTTTGGTCACGTCCTTTCGATATGAGTTGAGGTGAGCTACTGAAGCTTAGGGGCATCGCAGTGCGTGCTTACAGAAATGCTGAGCTATGGGTCTCGCCCTCTTGGGTAAGTTGCCCGCTCACGTGTCAATCTCATGTCTTACTCATAGACAGTGGAAAGTTACAGGGTGGTGAATCTGAATATAATATCAGATGTATTGACCCATTTATATAATACGTTCTGTTGATGAGACAGGGGCCTATTACAAATAAAATTAACGTTATTAGGGGTCATAATAGGGTCATTTCATAAATTTTGGCAGAACAAAGTCAGATGTCACTTAAGATGATCATTTAAGTCATTCTAAAATTGCTCAAGTTAATCATATTGATTTTATTACTATTTGGCCTCCAATTAAAAGAGGCTATTTTACTTAACCTGTGATAGCTGTTTTTATATCACATTAATTGTTTTCATTAAGTTCTGGAACTTTTTAAGTGGCAGGGCTTCATATAAGCATTTCTTGCTGTTTTCCTTTTATTGTCGACGCAACTATATACACAGATATAATCTGAGAGAATAAATTATGAATTCTCTCCATGGAAGTGTTGTGTATACACTTTAAGTGAACACTTCAGTTACGTGTTACTTGTTCTTCCCTGTTTCCCTGTTCAATTGGCGAGGTTCTACCCACTTCTCCGGAAGTGAGAGCCGTGAGAGTGTCAGCCTGTTGTTTGATTAATCAGCTGACTTGCGCTCGACCTCTGAGATCGTTACAAGCTCAGCCGTATATTATCGTCAACAGGTTGAATCATTGTTGAATATCTTGGTGAATAAGTTGATGTTTTACATTTTGGTGAATATTTATATAAAGCAAAGCTGCTGTTACAAACCTGTTGAATGCACTACCGGGTACCAAATTAGCTTCATCGTGTAGTGGTCCTTTTAACTCCGAAATTTAGTGGATCAGAAAGCATTTTTCTGCTTGGTATCCACCCCCAGTAGCTTCAGTATACCGAAATTATTTAAAAAACAATCAAGATATCACTTATAAAAAAAAATACCCCATGCTTGTTATGTAGAGACCTTTTCCAAAATCCAGTCATGTCTATGATGAAATTTTGTAGGAGTCATTATCCTATCTTACCTACAAGAAGGGATGGTATCCAGGTAAAAGTGTGAAGCTAAAACACAAAGAATATACTTATATATTAGTTTAGGGTGTTGGTGTTTGGTTATAATGTATTACATCGCTTCGACAACTACTATGGGGTCTGAGTTTCTCGCCTGGGTTAATATGCACACAAGTTTCCTCGGTATTAACCTTTGTTGCAGTTGACCGGAATAGTTTTCACAATATCCTCTGTTTTAATTCCCTAAACTACGGGGCATTACACGGACAGTCAGCCGTTATGACCTTAAATAAAAGCTACTAAACTTTTTTATACTATTCCCACGTAAAATTAAACTCTCAACAAAAAGCTATACTACAAATTACCGGGTTTTTTAAGGTTCGTTTATACCATAACACTAAACTTTGTTCATTATTTCATTCGAGCAATTTCCTGTTGCATTTATTTCAGCAGTAAAATCTCTGATATTTCCTTTTACCAAGTTAGTATAATGCTGGGCTGCGCTCACCCCAGAGTTATTTCTTCCCATTAGCAGTAATGCTTAGTAGCGGTGACAGCCGGTTGTCTGGATTGTTTAATTTCTAAGATAAATGTCATAATATAAAGAATATATAGCCTATATATATATATATATATATATATATATATATATATATATATATATATATATATATATATATATATATATATATATATATATATATATATATATATATATACTGATAACCACAAGGAAACATGTGATTATCTTGTTTTGTGGTTATCATAAATATGCACCTACAGAAATATATATATATATATATATATATATATATATATATATATATATATATATATATATATATATATATATATATATATATATATATTCATAAAAATTAAAGGATTATAAAGGATTAAGAATAACGAAGTGAATCGTGTGTGAGGAGTGGCAAAGGCTTTTAAAATCCTGTCAGGATGATAAATACTAATCAGTGAGGTAACAGAAGATTCGGTGAGAGAGTTATAGTATAAGAATGAGGATATCGGAATATATACAGGAGTCATCAACAACAAAAATCTAAGAGAAAGGCACATATGCGGCTGCTTTATAAGGGAAGAGGATCTCTGATACAACTTTAGTCTGAGGACACCGCTCGAGAGATATATCGAGACATGTTCCACAAAGTGGAGTACAATTATCACCTTAATGTTTTTGTAATGAAACACTGAGCCGAGTTCTCTGTTTATGTACGCTGGAGGCAGCAACATGTATCTAAAAGAAGAAAAATAATGCATTTTGTTACACTCCGTTAACCTCTGGTTAAATGTGTTGCTCACGTGTGTGCAATGAACATCCGTAAGTTGAATTTTTAAGATATCATGGGAATAATAACTAGAAACGCTTAAGTTATTGGAATGGATTTTACATAATATTGTGAAATGGGGGACAATTTAACACAAGCTTAAAGGCCAAATTACGCAGTTCTTTAAAGCATCTTTTTACAAGTTTTGTTTTTGTTATGTTCCTCATCATTTTCCCCTGCCCTTTCACGGCCTTACGCACACAGTTCGTCTCCTTCTAAACAGACGTACTTTGTACATAGTCAGCTGCTAAATGGAGAATTTCACTACGTACGTCTAATTTTGTTTGTCTGAGTGTTGAAGACTGTGTATATGTGTACAATAATAATAATAACAATATTAATAATAATAATAATAATAATAATAATAATAATAATAATAAAATAGTAATAATAATAATAATAATAATAATAATAATAATAAGAGTAATAGCATCAAACGTTTATTGAAAAATACAGCAGGCAAATGCTGAAAAGAAACTATATACATAAATGGTTGTTTATTCTGCGCTACAGATTATAATCTGTAGCGCAGAATAAACAACCATTTATGTATATAGTTTCTTTTCAGCATTTGCCTGCTGTATTTTTCAATAAACGTTTGATGCTATTACTCTTATTATTATTATTATTATTAAAGGAGAGCACCAGAGAGCTGCTTCAAAATATCAGACATCGTCTCCCAATGTCACTAAGCCATAGAGGTAGTCAAATATTTATGATTTCAATACAGTATAGTAGTGCTAATCAGATGCTTGAGGAACAGCATAATAAATGTTATGATCATGAAATATGAAGTAGGTTTTTAGTGAGAGGGGGATTATGTTCATTCTAAAAAACAGTACTGTACTGCATAAATTTTTGACCTGTGAGTGCTACATCTTTAAGACATTACGAGGAATAGTATATTATCTTTACTTTTCTCTCCTTCCTTTCAGGAACTCCAATTCCTCCAGGTTTACAGCTACTGGTTGCCATGAGATACATGGCTACAGGAAATTTTCAAATAACTCTGGGAGACTGTTCAGACATGTCTCAACCAAGTGTTAGCAAATGTGTTCGGAATGTTTCTGATGCTGTTGCCACTCTTGCACCAGATTATATTAAATTCCCCTTTCCAGAACGAGAAGAAGAGTTCTTGCAAGAATTTGCCTCTATTGCTGGAATGCCAGGTGTGATAGGCTGTATAGATGGGACTCACATTCCAATCAAGAGCCCTGGAGAGCCAAATCCTGAACTCCACAGGTGTAGAAAGAATTTCTTCTCCATTAATGTCATTGGCGTATGTGATGCACGCATGATATTTTCAAACCTTGTCGTAAGCTGGCCGGGCAGTGCTCATGACTCCCGCATATTCACAACTTCAAGATTTTGTGAAAGTCTGCAGGCTCGGGAATATCGAGGCCTTCTCCTTGGTGATAGTGGATATGCGTTGCATCCCTACTTACTCACTCCAATCCATAATCCAGCTAATGAAAAGCAGAGGAAATATAACAGATCTCATATTAAAACAAGAACTACAATTGAAAGGACATTTGGGGTGTGGAAGAAGAGATTTGCTGTATTGCAACATTGTAGGAGCAAAGCTGTCTACTACCAAAAATAAAATAATTACAGGACAGTATAAGGAAAAGGAAAAAGTGAGAGAAGAAAATTATCAGATAAAATATTTACCTGTAGGCCACTGCTGCTGTTTGATTTTTAGACAGCCAAAGGAGATTGAGCAATGGGAGTTATGAAAGCATGCAACTTTATAAATCAATCACTTTTCTATTATAGTCTCACCTATCTGCACATTCTCTAATGAATTATTTTCGTCATCTACTAGGTGACTGTGGAAGGTCTCGTAAAAATCATCAGCCATTGCTAACTCAGCCCTCATTATTCATCCTGCTAAGGCGATTTCTTCTGAAGCTTTTGATAGTTTTCTGAAGGACCACCACCTTCCTTTTTTAGCTTCTTTCGGTCTTCGATATCTCTTTTTTTAGTTCTGAAAGAAACAAAAGAAAATAAATGCAGTATACAGTACAAACATCCACAGCAATAGCAACAGCATAGGCTTTTATCATGCTTTCATAACCAATGTCTATGGGTAGAGGGGATGCAGAACAGACTAATATCGTTTATTGTGCATAAATGCATCACCAAAAAAATATGTGAATGTCTTGTAGGATTTTCCAAAACAGCAATGTTTAAGGAGCCTGTATATAGTTTTAAAAAATGTAAATTTGCCATTAAAAATTGAGTAAGAAAACATGGTTATACTTTACTATGTTGATGTGCACTTACATTAGTATATCGAAAACAAATAGAGAAAAAAGTTTTTGAAGTAAACCTAAAATAGCCTGACACATATCTACTAGGTTACAGTCATATCTGCAATAAAAATTATGATATACTGGTATTGAGGACTAATGTGCTTCTGACAAGTCTTTGGAGGTGACCCTTCAAAACTAAGTATAGACCTGTTTGAAGCTTATCTTGCCAGAATATTTGGGCTTGCCAAGTGTGTGGGGGCACCAGCCCCATTCTTGCCCATTTTTCTTGGTTGCACGTCATGGTCGTAAAATATTGCCAGGCACCTAATGGAAAGTACACCAAATCTGCAGAATAATGCCTGTTTCATATAAAGTTATATGCTGCATAGCTTGGTTCTAGGACAACTGCCCCCTGGACAATTACCCCCCATTGCCAGTGAATAACTGGCACAAAACATGGATATAACCTAACTATAACTTAACATAACCTAACATTACCTAACATAACCTAACCTCACTTTAACTTAACCTACTTAACCAAATATTAAATATGGCTGATCCACAATTATTTTTCACCACAATATTTTTTCAATGTTTTTCTATTTACAGATTTGTAGTGTTAAAGAAAATGTATAAGTTGTCATGTTGTGTATATAATTATTACTACAAATAAAACACGAAAATAAAGCATTAATTCTTAGTGTTCCATGTTTTGTGCCAATTATTCACTGAAAATGGGGGGCAATTGTCCAGGGGGGTAGTTGTCTCATGGGGAGAATTGTCCGGGGGGCAGTGGTCCAGGGGGCAATTGTTCTGATACCGTATAGCTTGTGTATAGTCATTGTATGGGTAAAGATTGACATTAAAGATTTCAAACAAGAGAACCTAACAAAGTATGGCTGTAGCACCTTTTTACTGCTCTACCCTGCATACCAGAACCTTCCTTATGAATTCATATTTGTTTTCAGATAACACACAATTTTAACCTAGCACTCTTAGGAGTAAAAATAAATCAGTAGCGAACACTTTCACATACTAAACTATATGGTTAATCTTACTCAGACACCCGCATCGAACAGCATATTGGCATATATAATATATGAAAGTAGACATAAAAAACTAACATTTATTTTGATATATAACTCAATGAGATCTGAAAATTATATGAAGGAAGGGAGAAGGGGGGTGAGATGGGAACTTTCCTTCTGTCTACTTCGGTAGGAGGTGAGGTTACTCACATGACCCGTCACTTAAATACTCTAATCCTACTCAATTTTGTAACCTAATGGCAAAACACCATACATATAAATACTAAACTTAGAAAGAAGCATATACTGTACTTACTTCCTTTTTAAGTGTTTGTAGCTCCTCTTCAGCTGCTCGGCAGTGCGAGGGAGTTGGTCTGAGTTGCTGGCATTGAATGAGGCAATAATTTCATCCCAGGCCTTTCTTTTCCTCTCATTTATTGTGTTGCTAGTAGACCTGTCCTCAATTACTGGCCTTGCTCGATATGGCGCAAAAGTGTTATGCCCTGGATTTCTGACAGCTCTGGAGAACACTCTTTCCCCTCCATGTTTGATAACAAGCGCGTAAACATTGTTGCCAAGTACACAGATGAAAAATATTTTACAATATATTATTGTGCACGTATAAAATAACAACTAAATATCTCTCTAAACCGTCTTTCTAATTATGTGAAATAATGCATTTGGCACACGCTCATGACCATCCGACACGAACTGCCATGTTTACACGCACTGTATTCCTAGTTGCAGGCTCATATAAATGACTAGGAATATAGCGCTCAGCGTCGTGTGGCAGCTTCCCGACACACGATGCATCGTGATCATGATCGTGATCGTCATTATCGTCGTAATGACTAGGAATCCGGCCCTAAAGACGATTAAAGCCTCCTTCAGTGTTGGAAAGAGCACTACCATTTACTGCTCAACCGAAACACTGATGTTGATGTCCTGACTACCCAGCAGGTCTCTCAGCATCCAGAACTGACCCATCTCAATTATCCTCCATCCCTGGATGAGGTAGTTACTGCCATCAAACAGATGAAACATAAAAAAGCCTCAGGGCCTGATGGAATCCCAGCCGAGGTGTATAAAGCAGGACGACCTCAGCTTACAAGCCGTCTCCACTCTCTCCTTGAGAATATATGGGAAAAGGAGGAAATCCTCCAAGCTCTTAAAGACTTCTCCATCATCAATATTTATAAGAGCAAGGGAGACCCATCAGACTGTGGCAATAGGGTGTGTCATACGGAGGCAAATTTTTTTTTTTTGAGTTTGAAAAATCGGCCCATGGTATTAATGATGTAGTTCTATGTGCAGAATCATGTGATATCTTCAGATTTGCAAAGTTTTCATTTTTTCCTAGGTAAATTTTAACTTGAAATCTTTTGAAAATTCAGTATTCCCACCCTTTTACCAACACCACTAAATAGCTTATTTAAAGTAAAGTAAATGTATCAGGTTAATTTATTAGGATGAAAATGATCCAGAATAGTGAAACGAATGATCTTGACACATTTATTAAATTTAATATTCCTTTAGAAAACAAAATCACCCCAATACAAAAACCGGTTTTACTACGACGACCCGGTGTTGCTGCACACCATAGAGAACATGTCTTTCTTGCTTCTGTTTCTACTCATCACCTCCCTGCTGACCACCTGAGCACGGATGTAGCCTTCCCTCCTCTCCTGGCTGTACACGTGACTGCTGGCCTCGCTCACTTGCTGTACACAACGCTCTATACTCTGGGTGTGCGAGGGCCAGGCAGGGACATGCATGGGGTTGTCCAGGAAAGCTCTGACTTGAACATTGGTGAGGCTGCAGGTAAGAGGGGCTCACTGCCAGCCTGGATGTTATCCAGATCTATGAGATCAGTGAGGGTCTTGGCACCTAGATTGACTTCAGGAGTCTTCCTGACCCTGAAGGAATCGTCACCAACTGATTCGTCATGCCCAGATCCTCTCATAAGTCTCATATCCAAGATCTTTTGACTGCCACTCTTCTCTCCTCCTCATCCTTACTGCAGAGCATTGTCTGCAGAACTGCCTCGGGATGAGCATACCAGGAAGATCTCCTCACAGTCTGCTCCACAATCTGAACAACCTTCCTTGGCTGACTCCTCAGGAGCTCAAGCTGGAAGAGAACATGCCTCGGACCTTCGGAGAACGATGACTTGACCTTGGTGTTGAACCAATTTGGCAAGTAGACACTCACGATGAATTGGACAATAAGTCTCAGGTTGTGAAGCTGGTTCCCTTTCAGTTTATGATGAGCGACCCAAATTCTGCAGAACCTGAGAGCCGTTGTGAGCCACCTAGAATGTGAGACTGGACCTATCTGCAGGTAAGCAAGTCTATCAGGCATGACCCCAGTTTTGATGGCACTGCAAATCATGTAACCATAGTACTGGTCAGTACTCAGGTCGTCAATGACAGTATGTGCAAGCTCAACGAGTGGAGGGCCAACTGTGATTTTTTCAAAGCTCGGATTTATTTCTAACTCAGTGGCAGAGTCCAGCATCTTGCCAAGAGGACCAGACCATCTGTTGTTTGAAATAGTCTTGCCATCCAGCTCCTGCATCAGATGTCTGAGTGGCAACTCGTTGGTGTGGAGGTCACAAACAATCCAGACCAGCTTCCTCCCAATCTTCCGCTCTATCCACTGTATGACCCCCCTTGCCACCCTGTGTTCGTGTTGGTGCTGTCCCCTCCAATGGCCTGCAGGGTCTGGTCTACGTTCCTCTCTCTGAGCCAGTTCACAATGTTATCTGCCACTATCTCAACTGGTTTCCTGATGTCATCTTTCTCTGGAGTGAAATGCCACAAATACTTCCCTCCTGGTTCACTGCAGCAGGAGTAGTGTTCCTCCTTCACCATGGCAGGGAACAACTTGTCAGAATCTCCAACTTTCATGAACACTTTAGTGTCATCCCTTCTCCCATCAAAGAACAAACAATTGATTCCATTTTCTCTTATCCCCTTATCAAACTCCTCTTCTAGGTTACTGACAAGTTTCTTCTGAGCTCTCCTTACTTTGTTATGATCTATCACCAGGTGAACATCATCAGGTGTTATCAAACCACCGTCAACCCAGGCAGCTGTTGCTATCTCTGCAGTTTCTCTGAGACCAGTGTGGTGTCGCATGCTGGCCAGAGCTATGCTCGGGATATCTTTCCTATTTCGAATCTTATGCCTGGAAGGTTTGGGATCATTATTTTCTGGGTTAGGGACAAAGTCACCATTCTCCTGGTCAGCACTCGGATCAGCCATGGGGAAGTCATTAAACTCTGAATCAGCTTGACTCCAATCATCGGCCTTTTTTAC